CAGCCTACTGCTTGCTTCAGATAGCAGCGCCCAGGTGCTGGGGCTCTCATTTCTCTGTGAATATGCATGTTTATGGGATCAGTGTTGGTTTTCTTTTACGCAGAGTGTAGGGTCTCCCTTTCCATAGGCCGGGAAGGCTGGAAAGATTTCCTCTGCCCCCCCCGTCTGTTTGAGAGCAGAGATGGGGCTAAGCCTGCAAACTGCCCCCCTCTCAAACAGTAGAGCAGAGGAGTCAGCGCTGCTCGGGGTGGGCCCTACGCTCGGTGAACCTCACTCCTCAGCACAGAGCTCCCGAGCTTTGGTGAAAGCCCCCACACCAGCACCCTGTCCTCCATGTGCATGTGGTTAAGGGTGGATGGGGAAAAAGTTGATTGTTAGTAACCTCTCATAGAAACAGTTATCTTCGGTTTTTAGCTCCATGAATGTTTGGTGGGGGTTAAGGTCTGCTCTTCTGCCTGGCTACAGCTGCTCCTGAAACCAGCCAAATGGAAGCAGGAGCACAGAGGCCACGTTTGGAGGAAGGACTTCACCCCTCCCAGGCTTATATTTTGTTCTCTGGTCAAGGCTGCATTTATTGGGAAAACATGTTTCCTGTCCTGAGCCTTTTTTCAAGCTGTGCTGATGGGAAGGAGAAATAAAGCACAACCAACTGCTACCCAGAGCCAACAGCAGGACTGCAGGGACAGCCCACACTTCTGCGCACACATCCATTCTCTCCTTCAGGGCTCAAGCTTCAGTGGGACCTGTGGGACTGAGCCTCCATCCCACCTCCCTTTTCACAGAGTGGGATCAACTGCCTGCTCCAATGGACTGCCACAACAAAATGTTTACAGTCGGGCAACTTCCAGCTCCCACTGGCAGAAGCGGGGGTGCCATGGGGCTCTTCTCCCCCAGCTCTCGGGTGGCTGATGAGCTCGAGGGGTTAGAAAAGCCCCTAGAAAAGATGGGGCAATAGCGCTGTTCCAAGCTGCAGCTCGGATGGGCGACTTGCCACTCTCCCTATGCCAAATGGAGAGTCAGCAAAGGCTTGGATTAACTTTCCCATCAGTGCTTTATTTTTAACCTGAGCCCTTACGCAGGCAGTTGTGTGAATTTTGGCCAGTGGCCTTTTCTCTTCAGTAACTTCTTTTTGTCTGGACAATCTTGGTGCTGTGAGTGACTGTGATTGTAAAACTTGGTACTGTGAACTTTTCCTATGTGATGTGGTGAGATGTGTTGAGGGGATGCTCAGTTCCTGGCCAAAGGAGGTGTAATCACAGGTATATTATGCTTGTACCGATACCTGTTTCCTTGCACCTTCCTTTTTCAGCGTTAAACAGATAGTAAAAGCTCAGAAAGAACTACAGTATTATTCAAGAGAGAATGAGATGATGCCTGTACCTAGAAGTACTGCATGCTTTAGTCAAACACCTGAAGAAAAGAGATCAAAAAAACCAAAAACCAAAAAAAAACCCACCCAAACTTTTCTAAAAACAAGGTGATGGAAAAGCTATTCACCACCAACTGCGTCCTATGGCCAATTCCACAATAGCACCAAAGTGCGTCAAACATCCTGAATACGCTGAAGCGTAAGCATAGTTGACACACTAGAAGAATCACAGCAGAATTATTAACAAGTCTTACTTCAGTACCCCTTCATAGCACATCAAGGTTGCTGTTTCAACAGTGTGTGCCTTTTTCCATTTAAGACATTATTGAGAAAATGGCATGTTTGAAATTTATCTAGCCGTGGCATATTCAAACCATTAACGGTGAAAATCACAGTTCGAATTTGTGCATGGTCGAAAAGGTTGCCTGGGACAGATGACCCTGCAGAACGATGCTTCTGTTGTGTAGAACTCCTTTGTAGAAAAAATGGTTCTTTGTAGTGCCATGGTTTCTAGGTTGTTAGTAAATGTGCTCTTTGGAGAGCATAAAGCTCTCGTATTAGTTGGCTGTAGAGAAGCCCCCTTGCCACTAAAAGGGCAGCTCTGCTGCCACTTCAATTACTTACTACAGGGAAGCATTTAAGCTCTTCAATGTCTTGTTTATAAGCCTGATCCTCCTTTTAAATTCCCTTCTCTTTGGTAATTGGGCTCTCACTTCCATGTAAACCCTTCTGCTGCATAATAGATCCATTTGCAGAAGAGAGAGAGAGTGGTACCTTTAAAGTGCAAACAATACCTCACCCGATGCACCTTGCACACCTACTATATATTCTCCCACCATTAAATTACTGGTCCAGGTCAATAACACTTTTCTAAATGTAGTTGTGCCATACTGAGACATACGTCCCTTGGGATTCTGTTACAAGCCTTGTAACGCAACTCAGCAATTTAGCATTTTATTGCTCTCTGTTTGCTATCCTGACAAAAGAGATTACTCCCAGGAGGGTAAACTGAAGTGAGAGATAAGGCCTGTGGCCAATGGACACTTGGCATCCCCCTGGCATTAATCAGAACTTGTATTTTTTAAAAAAGCAGGATTGTTAAAATAAAATTAGAAACTTGTGACTGATTTTGCTCTTTTTTTCCCCCCCTCCTTTGAGTCTTGCTGGACTATCCAATTTTGCATTCAGGGACCAACAGATGCATTAAAGTTACTTGATTTCCTCATGTTGGGTTGCTAAAATAGCGACTGGATTTTTCCCTCAAACAAACTTCCTGTAAGTGAAAGGGAATTCTAAAAGCTGTAACATCAAGGGAGTTATTTGAGAAGGGAATGACTAAGGCAAGAAAATCCAGATGACACTTCTGAGCTTCCTATTTAAATGCTTTATAGGAATTCATACCACTTGAAAAAGGCTCATGGGGAAAAAAAAAATAATCTGATTTACATGTTAATTGCTGTAAGATAAGAGAAACTTTAAGAAGCAAGATCATTAAGATGACAATTATTCACATAATCTGAGAAACTGATTCTCATTGGAGAAGCATTGAGATGACAGCTGCCTCTTGCTTAGCTCCTGTTGGGTTAGGTCCTGTACAGATGGGAAACAAAGGCGGCACCCAGCCTTAAGTTTGCAGGGGCTGTCCCTTTTTCAGTCTTTTGAGGCACCTGGCTGCAGAGAAAGCCAGTTGTCTCAACAGTGCTGGCCCTGCACAGAAATTACAAACATTTATGTTCTTTAGCACCCATTTTGGAGGAGCATGTACCTCCCACATGAGAGCCCTTGGCTGTATCCACCAGCTCAACTGGATAGAGCCACAAGGGATGCCTCAGTTCCTGGCCAAAGGAGGTGAATCACAGGTTATATTAGCTTGTACAGATACCTGTTTCCTTGCACCTGCCTTTTTCAGCGTTAAACAGATAGTAAAAGCTCAGAAAGAACTACAGTATTATTCAAGAGAGAATGAGATATACCTGTACCTAGAAGGTATATACCTTCACAGGAATGGTTTGGCATTTGTCAACCAGTTCAGTTCTGGCTCTCAGTTTTGCCTCAGGTTTCCGTAAGAAATACTAACATAAGGAGTTAGGCAGAATTAAGGACATAAATGTTTAAGTAAATATATCCAAAAAGTATTCATTTTTTAATTTAAGGAACAAAACACAAGTCATAGACAAATAAAATTATAAAATATACATAATACAACGTTGGTCGCAAGTGAAAAGAACAGATTATCTTCTGAGATATCAGATTCTTAAAAAGCTGAAATAAGATTATCGTAAGATTTTTTGACAGGTAAACTGAGGAGGACATGAAGACGACAGGATTGTCTGAACACAAAGGAGAAAGGCCTGGATGTATTTACATCTCAAGTTGTTACCCAGTGGGTTGGACTGCAGAAATTGTGATAACAACTAGGGTAAATGCCCGACTCAGTCTGCTACCCCATCAGTGCTATGTGGGCCAACATGCAATCACTCGCAGGGAACAATTTTTTTCTAGTGCATCAAGCCTAATCTTTTAAAAACACCAGAACTGATAGTTACCGTCATAGCTCCTGAAAGAGGAATCCCTTAGTCTATGAAGTATTTCACAATGGTTAACCTGAACTACCTGTGCTTGAGTTTATACCCACATAAGTACATCTTGCACTCATTTTAGCTCAGCCTCCCCTAACAGAGTTATAATCTCTGCTCTAAAACAGCATCTGCTGAAGCTACACTTTTTTCCTCTCCAAAATAGTCTTTCATTTCCTTAATTGTGTGTCACTATTTACATCTTCTGTTCAAGTCTTCCTGGTGCTAAGATGTCCAAAAGCAAACTGCACTGTAGCAGTGTGGTAGAATATGCCAGATTCCCTTGATTCAGTAATTCTATATTCAGCCCCACATTCTTCTTATAATGTATAAACAGCCTGAATCCCATTTTTTGGTCCATTACCCCTTCCCCCCCACCATTGCTGGTTTTCAAGCACATACCTCCCAGTAAGGAGGGTTATGGAGACTCCTAATTGGAAGTTTATCTCACTGCTCAGTTACTCCACTTAATTTCTGAATGGCTGTGGAAATGCAGTTGCAAATGAATGAATGAGTGGCAAAAGAAAAAAAATCTCCAGACACATGTATCAACCAGGTAGAGACAGCCCTAACCTAGCTGAAGTTTAAGGCACACATCTTTCACACATTATTTACAGCAAAATATTTAAAATGTGTATTAAAACGGCAATGCAAATTTTGCCATGTTATCTACATCTATTTTCCAAACCCTAGCTGTGACCTTTATCCAGTGCAATAGAACCAGTACAGCTGGAGGGCATTTTGAAGGCACAAATGGATGAGCCACAGTTTTTCTGCCATCCAGCAGTGAGGACTCAACATAACACATTTCCCCAAGGAACGGAACTACTGCCTGTTCTTTCACAGGGGTGGCTAATATTCGTTGTTTCTCTCTGCAGAGATTGGAAGCAACGTTACCAGTCTGCTGGGCAATCCTGCCTCCTAGCAGTAGACAGGAAGATCCCACCAGTAAGTCATTTATAGTACAAGGACGGTGTTGGAAATGCAGTTTCAGCACTGCACACGGTACCACCTTCCATCCCTGTCTTTCAAATGGAGCAGGTCCCAGATAGAGCCTAATGGTCCTCCAAAGATTGGCCAGTGTCCATCACCTCAGCTGGATACCCCCAGTCAGAGCTCCGTTGAATGTCCTGGAAAAACAGCTGCTGCTGGAGGCTCTTTAGACTGTTCAAGACCTCTGGAGAGAGTTCATTGAAGACCACCTGTTTTTCCTGATCCTCCTCCTCCTCTTCCTCCTCCTCCTCCACAAGGTCATCAGGAGGCAGAGGAGAACATCTAGAGATGTAGCCCTGGTCTGACTGCACTGACTGTCTTTGGTCTTTGCATTGGTCATCAAAAACCAACTGGTGTTGCTTATCAGCCTCCTCTTGGCAGACAGACAGCTCTGAAGGAATGACACTCTGCTGATAAAGAGAGTACTTAAGTCCATTCAGATGGTGTCTCAGATCACCTGAGAGGTCTGCAGGACTCTGATCATCTATTGCTGAAACTTCAGAGTCATCGTGGAGGATGACGTTATTCCTCATTGGAAAGCTTGTCTCCAGAAGAGGAACTCCTTCCATATAGTCCTCATTACTCAGCACATGATGACCAAGTATATTTTTATCTTCCATGGAAGAGACTGGCTCCACTACCTGAACTAGAGGAGCCTCATCCATAGGAAGGACCATAGTCTGAGAAGTGGGATCCCCACATGGATTAAGTTGAGGCTGCAGTTTACAGCCTCTGCTTTCACCTTCATGCATGTGGAGGTTGATGACATAACAGCAGCTAGGGTCAGGCTCCCGTAGGTGCAGCTGGTGTTTCACAATTCCACACGGTTCACTTAGCAATGAATCCACCTGGCTCTCTCTGTTTAGGGACAGCAACTCTTCATCATTATCCAAGCAGATGGTTTCACTCTCAAACCAGTCTGGGTGCTCTATCTGCCAGTTCTTGAACTTTTGTACTGCCTCTTTCAACTTCCTCCCACTAGGGGTATCGGTGTAATTTTCAGCTGTGATTTCCTGGATTCGATGGATGCGCCCAGGTTCAAACTTCTCCAAGTCCTGAATCCGAAAATAAATATCCTCAAACTTGTCCATCAGTTGGTACCTGGATGTGACATTGAAGACATCAGGTATATCTTTCTCACTACTTATTCCCTCAAAATAGCAGACTATATACATTCCAAAACAGGCTGGCTTCTTGAAATCTGGCAGGATCAAATTCAATGCTGGCGTGAACAGGTCTCCCATTGGCTTTTGCTGATCTTGCTTGAGACACACCGGCTCACTCCCAAGCATGGCCTGCCATTTGGCCTGTGTGCCCCGGGAACATAAGATGATGATCTTTGAAGATAGGTCTTCCATTTCTTTCTTCTGTCGAGTAAGCCAGGGTAACGGCCCTAACTCTGAGATCTGATGATCTTCTAGTAGATCTAAAGCTACAGCAGTGCCACAGACTGTCATTAGAAACTCGGCAAACTTCAGCACCACATCCACGTACAGTAAGTGATCAGCAGAGTACACAATCCAAACCTTTCGGGGCTTCAAGGGTGGCAGAGGAAGGTCAGTATATGGTGCTGCTGAAAGACAGAAAAACATTTGTCCCAGCCACATTCCTGAAATTTGTAATGGTGCAAGCCAGCAGCAATCAACATAGGAGAATATTAACAAAAGGTTCTAGCAGTTACCAGTTTTGAAGCTGTTTTGGCAGCTTATGCAGATAACATTTCATTGTAGAAATTTAATATGAAAGACCAGACATCGGAGCTGTGATTTATAATAATGCCTGGATGGTCCATGAAATTTCACCACACAAAAGTAACAGACCAGCTTCAAGAGGCTTGCAAATGTAGCTATATTATCTGCTGGAGGGCTGAGCATACCCCCAAAACAATCTCCTATTGCTATGGCTTAGATGATCAGCAAAGGTTCTTTTGCCAGTACAGCCTCAGCTGGGTCAAAAGCCTCACCACTTCACAAAGCAATTATCTCCCATCTGGCAAATACGGCATTCCAAATGCAATGTTTCTTTCAGCTAAACAGAAAGATCGTAAGGCAACCTTTTGGTTTTGAGAAGCACCTATAGAGTAGTAGAGTCTATGAGAGCCCTTTCTGCACAAATGTGTGACACCTACAGAATGCGTTACATGTGCTTGATAAAATACAGGCAGGACATCTTACCAGTTTGCGAGTCACTGTGGTTGCATTTCCCTCGCCCACATCCTGGAAGATAAAGAAAGTCACTGTCACCTCTGAAAACACGAAATAAAATTAAACCCTTAAAATGACACCACCTTCCAAAGATTAGGTTAAAAAAAAAGATTAACTGTGTATGGATAAAATCATGGGTAGGGAGAAGCCTGATAAAATACACTAAATGAATAAAGACTCTTCTAAAGCTGATTTTGCTATGTACTTCGCTATGTTTTTCTTTTGAGAGAAGGAGGAATGCACTCAAAACCAATTTTCTCCATCTTCCCCAGATCTGGCCAGCCTCAAGAGGTACAGAACCCTCAATTGTTCTGCTACCTCTCCTGAAGGAGAAGAGGCTTTTTTAAAGATAGCTTTTTAAGAAGCTTCTCTGGAGAAGCAACTAAAATGACCCTAGCTACATCTTAAAAGTTTGACATTAAGAAATTTTCCAAAAAATTTCCAATTACTCCTCCCAGGTAAAAAACCCCAACCCAGCGAGTTGCACAGTTCCTCTGTGATAACTGCCTTATAGTTGCAGCACAAAAGACTAGAAATTAGTCCTTAAGTACCCAATTTTCCAACCCGCTCAATGCCAACCTCTGTGTCCTGTTTTACTTCTTTCGTCTTTATTGGAAAATATTATTTAAGCTCAAAATAGTATAAAAATGAATTTTGTAGAGACTTTGGGGGACAGGGGAAAGACTACAGTCTGGACAAAAAGGAGGTTTCTGTCCTGCAAAACTCTTCAGCAATGCAGGAGAAAAATAAATGGAAGAGATATCTGTAGCAATCTGCAGGAAACAAAAGGCTGAACTATGAAGTTCCTTTTCCCCCACATGAGCTCTGAAGCGCTATGAGAATGGAGTATCAGACAGCATAACCCGTGGAAGGCTTACCTTAACTAGGTGGATAGTATTAGGATGTTACAAGTCCCATGATGTAAAACAGAAGGTGTTTACATCAGCATTATTTCAATGGCAAGACATCAGAACAGCAAGGAAGAAAATAGGAATAGGTACACAAGTAGGAAAAATGTAGTTTTAGCATTAAATCTTTTCTTCCTAGCTGGTATGAGTCTTACCTGCTCGTTTTTTGGTCATACAAATCACACCTGCTATGACTGATCCCACCAGTAACACACAGATCCCAGTGATACACCAGTAGAGCCATATAATCATATCACCTGCAGTACAAAAGTAGTGTTCAGACATTGCTTTACACCAACGGTTTCACCAAAGAACAGAAGTTTCTTGCGCAGCAATGGCTAAGGCAGAAGGACCCTGTCTCTGCCAAAAAACACAGGTAGTCCAGCACTTCCCCCTTACAACATACCACAGTCACTTCTCAAAATGAATTACTGCTTTCATGATGATGCTCTACACCATAAACTTGCTCCACAAAGAGCCATATGTGCAGCACACTGGAACACAGATCAATAACCTTCCTCTAAATAGCAACGTTTATACAGCTTTGACAGGCATGCCGCCCATGTCCTGCCTGTTCATGTAATCTAACTTAAAAAAAAAAAGGAAAATCACCATTTTGGGTGATGTATTTTTTTCAATCTACAGGTGTTTTCTTTTCCTTTTTAAATCTTGTACAAACTAGCTCCTTACAGGTGTTGTTGCAGCCAAAAAAAAAAGATGTCAAATTATGCACATGATTTATCTTGACATTCATAAAAATGAATATATGCAAGCTATTCTCTCCAAAAGCTGCTTTATATTATGCAAATTTTTTAACACTGAGCAAAGTGACAGAAAGTATTTTATATTAAGACTCTTCTTGTCAAAACTGTTTCTCAAAGAATTTTATGCAAGTTAAGTATCTCTAAAAAAATTGCTCTTTAAGGTTCACACTGCATACAAATGCTTGCCTTGTTAAATCATGGTGAAATAAGTCTTATCACAATTCATTCTGAACTTAGTGTTACAAGGGGACATTTCCTGCCCATCGGGTCATTCCCAGGGAGGATCATTTGTCATTCTACATGACAGGAAAAGAACAGCAAAAAAAGTTCCAGGGCATTGGAAGAACTTCTTACCTGATGGGTCTGTACCTGCAAAAGACAAGAGTTACATTAAAAATTCAGATCTCATCTGTAAGACAACGGGAATCTAATTTACAGAAAAGCAGTTCTCACTTGGAGCTGGTGAACATGGAATGAAAGCAGAGTGTCTCAGACAGTCTGTGCCACAGTTCGCAAAGAATGGCTGAATCTGCAATTGAAATAAATTTATAAAACAGAAGCTAGTCTTAAAAGCAATTTTATTCCCCACTTTACTTTCCCCCTGCCTCAACATTCCCTGTATTTTAGCACAGGGACACAGAATTCCCATTTCCCTTCAGAAAACAAGATTAATCAAAAATTCTTACACTATACATTAAGAAGGCAGTGAGCTCCTGAGGTTGCACACTTCCCGTTGCCTCTCCATAGTCTCTGATTTGGCAACCCTATACCAAGGAAAAGCCCCCTGGTCTACAGAGAATACCTACATAAAAAAAATTGTTCTTTCGTCCATAATAATTATTTCCCTAATACAGGTAATTAGGGATTGTTAATCTCAGAACAAAACACTGTGCAACAAAACATTACATTCTTAAATTGCTCATTGCCTTGTTGGTGAAGGAAGGACACAAGGACAACAGTGAGATCGTACCTGTATTTTGTAGTTGCAACAAGCTCTTATGTTCTTCTCTATTTTGATTGTGACATTCACTTGCTGTTGTAGTCCACTCTGCAGAAATCAGATGCAAGTTATAAGGGAAGGAAAAAACCAGAATGAAAGCAGGAAAAAAAAGAAAAGGAGTTGACATGAGAATATGGAGTGGTCCAAAGAAGCAGAAATTTCCTTTTTTTTTTTCTTTTTGGAACAAGAGACCCACAGAGAACAAAATGGATAAATGGTCTGGCCACCATCACTGCAGGTGTCCTGTGTGACAAGACATGGTAAAACAAGTAAGACAGCAGACTAAGGTTGCACTGCACAGGTAACAGGAAGCAATTAAGAATTTACATTGTATAACTTCAAATGTGTTAAACTTACAGTTTCTTAACAATATAAATGTCTTCAGTTATTTAATGTGTAAACATTAATGAGCTTCCTTGTTTAATTAAAAACAGCTGTCAACACTGCTGCTTCTGACACTAGAACAGACAAGTACCTGCTGTACACAAGCAATATAATGATAATTGAAATATATTCTTTACGGTGATTAGCAGATACATACTCCAAAATGAGGCATCTTCCCCTCTACCAGGGAAATATGCACACAGCTATACTGGTAATAAGTTAATACATATCAGTATTGCAGTATGAAGGGTTTTAAGTGTGGAAGGAAAGGGAAGATTACACAAGATGAATGCCAACCCCAAGGAAGGGTGGGGACTGGTACCAAATATTCAGCAGTTCTCCTTCCTCAGATGCCTGAAGAGGAATATTTCTTATGTCAGAAGACACTCTGGATGTACTTTGAGCTTCTTAACAACACAGGCTGCAAGACCTACAGGAACTGATTCTTAGTTTGAAACATCTGTTCCAAACCCACTCATTCATGATCTAAAAAAAAAAAAATAACCCCCCCACCATCATATTTGATAAACTACTTCAATGATTTATTGCAACTTTGCACCTCAGTTTCGGTTGATTTATTTAGTTTTATCCTGCAGGCATTGGCACAAAGGTAAAGTCCAGATAGTCAAATACCAAATTTCAGTTTTCTCTGCAGATGTTTACAGACTGCTCCATACATTATAAAACCTCTTTTTGATCCACCAAATTCTAGAAATAAAGTTTCTCTTTCCAAATCTGTGAAAACAACTCCTTGGAAACTGCTGTTGAAGTGTGTTCGTTACATCTCCTACATCATGGCTCCACATCCTTATTTAGCAACAATTAAAAGAAATATTTGTCCCAATTACCACAGAGGGCATCATTTAAGAGGGTAATTACCTCAGTGAAATCACGTGTGATCATTTTACACTTTTTCTCATTCAGGAAACTGGCCACATGTATTTGGTATCGGGCTGCCTCCATCCATGGGTTAAAGCTCACAAGCAGAGTTGTATCATCTAGACTTTCACCTTGGATCCTGGGCTCCCACAAGCTGCCTGAAAGTAGTGCAGATATTCCCAAGTTTCTCAACTGTCAGAAATATTTCAGCAGAGCACCCATGTCAATATGACTCAAAGAGAAAAAAAAATTACCTGTCTTTATACATGGGATGGTTCTTTTCATCAGAGAGTCCTTGCAGTCTGCAAGAAAGACCACCAGTGACTAGGCAGAAACGTATTTCTATTTAGGAAAAACACCCATTTTCTTATCAGAAGCCATACACCTAACCAAGCCCTCCTTGATGAGTAGACACCTTTGTTCCAAAGCAGTAGCAAAATTCTGCAGCAGAATAGTATTGGTTTCCGGCATATAAACTAGCCCCTTCACTGATGTTGCAGTGTGTGTTTATTTTCAGAACAGAGATAATTAATAAGAAAAGACTGAAAACATACAATATTTACTATAACAGTAATATTTGTCCATGTAAGACATGGAAAGGCTGGATTGATGGGCCGATAGATTGATGGTATAAGGTTCAACAAGGCCAAGTGCCGAGTCCTGCACTTGAGTCAAAACAACCCCATGCAACCCTACAGGCTTGGGAAAGGGTGGCTGGAAAGCTGCCCAGCAGAAAAGGACCTGGGGGTATTGGTCGACAGACAACTGAATATGAGCCAGCAGTGTGCCCAGGTGGCCAAGAAGGCCAACAGCATCCTGGCCTGTATCAGAACTAGTGTGGTGAGCAGGACTAGGGAAGTGATTGTCACACTGTACTCGGCACTGGTGAGCCCCACCTCAAATACTGTGTTCAGTTTTGGGCCCCTCACTACAGGAAAGACATTGAGGGGTTGGAGTGTGTCCAGAGAAGGGCAACAAAGCTGGTGAGGGGTCTGGAGAACAAGTCTTATGAGGAGTGGCTGAGGAACTGGGGTTGTTTAGTCAGGAGCAAAAGGAGGCTCAGGGGAGACCGTATCGTTCTCTACAACTACCTGAAAGGAGGTTGTAGCGAGGTGGGGGTTGGTCTCTTCTCCCAAGTAACAGGCAATAGGACAAGAGGAAATGGCCTCAAGTTGCACCAGGGGAGGATATTAGGAAAAATTTATTCACAGAAAGGGTTATCAAACATTGGGACAGGCTGTCCAGGGATGTGGTGGAATCATCATCCCTGGAGATATTAAAAAGATAGGTAGACATGGTGCTTAAGGACATAGTTTAGTGGTGGTTTTGGCAGTGTTAGGTTAATAGTCGAACTCGATCTTAAAGGTCCCTTCCAACCTAGATGATTCTATGATTCTAAGACTCATGCAGAGAGTGGAATTAAAACTTCATATTGATCTCTGGACCTTGAGAGCACCACAGTGATAGTTTCCTGAAAAGCATTCAGCCCCAGGAAAACTAGAGGCTGGATTCTTTCTTGATCCCAAAACACTCTTCGACATTTATAATTCTCTTCGCTTTATTTAGCAGATTGGCCCTGCTCTTTGTGACTTTCTTCAGAGTCAAATCCATAGTTACATATTCAACATTTAGAAATGTGGGATTTACAAGTCTCAGCCTAAACTATGTCACTCCTCCAGGGTTTGGATAAAGGAAAAGGAGCAACTCCCTGCTTAAACAGTTGAAATAAAACATTGCATATCTTAAATTTTCAACTTTCCAACTTTGAAAGTTTACAGTGCCCCTGTAATTTACATGTGAGCTCTAATCAGCAATGATTGAGCTTGACACAATGCATTAGGTTTCTGAAGAACAGTGGAGGATAAAAGCCAGGAAGTTTGTAGAGTGACCAGATATAAGAAAAGGTAACAGTGCTGAAAACCAAGTCCCCCCTCTCCTTTTCCAGCTCACATTGACTGACAAACCACATACTTTGCCATTCTATAACTAGAAAGTCACATTGAAAAGTATAACCAAATTAAGAAGAAAATTATGAACCAGTTTTCAAGCCCTGTATTGAGTGCCAAATACTTATAAACTAGTCAGAGCAGCCAGAGGGCACTGCAGCTGCATTCGGGAACAACAAAAAAAATAATCTTTTCAGTTACTGGAAAATTTTCACATACACAAGAAAGGGTCAAGCACTTGTCTCTATCAAGTTTCTTGGTAAATTATGCCTAACTATGCCTCTGAAATCAAACTTCACATGTCTACGATTTAATATTAGAAGCCAAACTTTACTCCTTCTGATTCGGAAATTCTGGCCTCTACTTCCAGCTTCCACAAGCAGAGGGGCAACTTCAAAAGATTTCAAATTAAGTAAAAGCAGCAGCAATAGTGTGCAGAGAGCATGAGATTGCTCTACAGACCCATTCATGTAGATGAAATATCTTGGTGCCTGCTCCACTGAGGAACATTTCAGCAACAAAATCCAGGAGATGTAACTTACCTTCAAACAGCCCCTCAGAGGGGCACCTGTACTAGTTCTCAGGTTTAACTATTAATTTCTCTTCAGCCATAGCTGTAGCAGAATTCTTAACAAGCTACAAACGCAATTTCTCAGAAATCAGAGACTGAAGTCCAAGGCTTTGTGCAGATTTCTAGAGAGCATATGAAAATTTTTATAGCACTATCTTCCATGTAGGAACTACACTGAATCAGAATCAAAGGGTCTGTCCTTCACAGAATAGTCCCTCCACATTCATCTTATTCCAAGCAGAGATTTCACAAACTGCTGGACACAAGATCCCAGAAATAAGGATGGTGACTTGCAGCACAACGATACACGCATTTTGGTTATACACCACAAGGGTACGCAAGGCTAGCACCATGGACTTTCTAAATAGCAATATTCAGAAAGGACAACAGGTTTCTATACTGCTGCCCTACTGCCAAACCTGCTCACAGTTCATGGATCTGGTGTGAAAAAAAATGAACACACAAGTCCACAAACCATCACAGTCCTAAGCTCAAGGCCTAAGCAAACTACAGCATCTCTTACCAGGCATTGTGAGGGACATGGACTTGCAGTTGTAGTCTCCATGTACACCCAGTTTGGGCAGGTGGTAAACAGTCACTTGGTAAGTCTGGCCAGGTTCCACTTCAAAACGGTCAAAAGTGAAATTCCACTGAAAACAAAACACATTCACAAGGACTCAAGACAGAAAAGTTGTTCTATAAAGGCCTGAAATTAACAGCCCTGTTCCACTGCGTTTCCTCTTCCCATTAGACCCTTTATCTGAAGCTTGACTATAAAAAAAAATGGAACTCAAGTGTATTAAATGTACAAGTCTTAGTCTGTCCCAAATTCTTCTGTTTGGAATGAGATAAGTACAGTTATTTCTTGGGATCTTTGAGCTGATACAACAGTGTTATGCCAAACAACTGTGTGGTGTTTCCACTAAGTTACATTCTGAACTAAAAGGAGATTGGGCTAAAATACACAGTTTTAAAACTGAAATTTTAGTTTAGTATGAATCTTGCAGTGCTGTGCAACTGCTAAGCATTCAGAATTGCACTTACACATATATAGTTCTGTACCTGTCCATTCCATACATATTGTCTTAAATCTATAGAGTTTTCAAATTCAGCAATATTGTGCAAATTCTGGAAGAGGCACTGGCTCCAGATGGAAAGCTACCTATGGCTAAATTCTGCCTAGTAAGCAATGAACTCCAGATTCCTATTGTTCATAAAGGGAGCTGTGGATGCTCAGCATTTTCCTGAAGAGTTTCCTAGACTGAGTGTAAGCTGAAGGACCACCCCATGTGCTTTCCTCCACAGCAAGGGAATACAAGAAAGAAGTGGAAGTAAAAGGAAGGGTTGAGTTAAAAAGACTATAATGTCAATGGCTGTCAAGGAGAATGCAAAAACTCCTACAATTATTTGCTTTAAGCAACGTTCAGAACGATGACATACGCCAGGCACTGAGCAACAATTCTTAAAACCTGAAGGATGGGAAGAGTGAGAAAGAAACCAAGGTAAGTAAGCAGCTTGTACATGGTTACACACAAGTGTAGAACAAGCTGGAAACAACAGTAAGTGTCAAACCCAGTATCTTGATTGTTTCATCAACTCTTCTAACCAGTCTGTACTTTTTATTCGATAACCCTGCTGTATGACCGTGAAAGCGGAAACAAACCCATGGACTAGAAAAAGTGATTTAGAACCCTTTGCACTCACCCGGCCTCCATCTGGACGGACCTGAAGTGGCAAGTTGTTCTGAAAGTCAAACTGGGCACAGATCTGTTGATTGCTGTTCACTTGCATCACAGCCAGCTCTGCCCCTCGGAGATACCGGATGCTAGCTGCAGGCACATGGACAGAAAAAGATATCTTTCTTTTCCTGTCATCTCCATGTGTAGAGGTTGCAACCCCCACAGAGATTACCACTGTGCCTACTTGTGTCACAGTCTTACTCATTTGAAGTGCTGGGGATCCCAACACAAAGATAACTGGCCATGAAAAAGTGAGCATGCAGGGTTGACTAACAGCACTTTCAGCCTAAAGGTTGTCTTGCACGGCAAGAGATCCATATGTGCAAATAAAGGGTCAAAGTAGAAGGCAACTTCATCCTTCCAGACACCCCGGCAGTTCCACAGGTTCAGTGATGTGTTTATCTCTGCCTCTCAAGGTTGCTTCATGCAGTTTGGGCACCAAAGCAAATATGCTTTTATTTTAGTACAGACAGTCCCAATGAAAAAGTTTATAACCATAGCTACACAAAATGACTGGGATACCCAAGTCATACCTGCTTCTACACTACTACAGCTATACTGAGAGAATAACTCCATACAGCCCTCAGACACACACTTTGCAGAAGGAAGAAATGAATGTGTTTAATTCTGTCTTGAATCAGTGCAAAACCATGGACAAGAGCATGCAAGGGAAACATCATATGCAAACAATCAGATATTTGGAGAGTGAGAAAACTTGACCTACTGGCACTCATTTAGGCTTCAGCAATGAGACAATTTTGCCTTTATCGAGACACATGTGCATGTAGGAAACCTAAGTTACAAGGACTAGATTACCCAAAATGGAAGGAACTTGCACTGAGTTAACAGTGCATAATTTATTTGTGCTCTCAAATTAATACTCATTTGTTCAGTTCATAGATGTAATTCCCCTGCACAAGACTGCTGCAGTCATAATTACGCCTTCAAAAGGCAATGCTTGCAGCGCGAACCTCATTTCTCCCCTCACTACCACAGTAAAGGTGTAGGTCACTTGAATCCATTTTTATCTGCCTTTCCCATTTTAAATGTCATTTTCCCATACTAGTGGAAACATTTTAAACTCATGGATATTCAGCACACCCAAATCCCCAATCCAGTCAGCAAGAAAAATCAAAAAACATCACGCAAAACAAAATGATTTTCAAAATGTCAAAGGTCTGCTTTCATGACTAGATCAGCGAAAGACTTCAAGTCATAATTCTTTTTCCTGTCGTTACCAGATCACACTTAATTCCTCTGCTCCATGTTCACATTTAACAACCACCACTTACCATCAGTGGCCACTTTCCATTCTATTCGAAGCACAGGGAGCAGTTTCCCATCCATCTGATGGAAAACGTCAGAAGAGACATGAAGACTGCTTGGAGCAGAAGGAGTCCACATCGGAACCTTCAGCCAGCTCGCCTCCATGCAGGTACCTGTCCAGCAAATGAAAACTACTATTTAGAGTGGGGCCAAGGAAGCGCTGCTTAATTGCAATTATGGTCTGCCCTTTGGGTCAGGGTTACTCAGAGGGCAGAACTGGATGACAGAGTGCTTCACAGTTCAGAAAGGTAGTTTGCAGCATGCAAGTTATTTTATAAATTGCCTGTAATATTCTGAACTCACTCATTCTAGTAAATTACACTTCCTATTTTCCTTAAAATCCATTAGCAATTATCACAATCCATGTAGTCAGGCTAAACAGGTCACGTAAGTTTACTCAATATCTCCTGCAGCACATCCATACCTTGCTGCCGAAACAAACCTGTGTTAGAAGACTAGTACTAATTTCCAGCTTTCCGAAGATAAGTCTGCCAGATACTCAGGGAAATGGTTCCAATAGTTAATTACTTTGTTTAAAAACTGCCTTACTTCTAATTTGAATATACACCTGAATTTAGCTTCCACCAACTGCTTCTTATGCCTTTTCTAAATTAATGAGCTCTCTGGACAGAAAAATAATTTATGCAAGTCAATACTGTGTTAGGGAAAACTGGTTTTGTAATCTACTCAGAAAATGAAATCAGGTATGACAGGCATTAGACAGACACGATCTACTTAGACTTTTGTAAGACATTTGGCTTATCAGAGCATATTAAAAATAGCTCTATTGAATACCAGTGAAGTACAAACACAGGAAGAACTAGGCTGACAAATCAAGGAGTTGCCAGTGGGAAATCATTACTGCTTGAATGTTTTAAATAGCTCTGTGGGGGTGAGCATAGGCCCAATGCTACACACTTTTTAAAAAATATCAACAATCTAGAAATAAATATAAAATAACTGATGATAGAGCATATGATAACTGTCAGACATAGGGAGAGAGGAAGGCAGAACTGTCAATAAAAACAAATATGAGTCACTTTGTATATTGGGCACATTCAGACAAAACACTTCTTCATACACTGTAATATACATCTAAGCACGTGTACTGTAGGCCATATTTACCTAATAAGAATTTATAACAGCATTTACTTATAACAGCACTGCTGAAACACTAGCAGGAAAACTACTCAACATGAGCTGTGTCATGCAATCTGTGAATCATATGAATAGGCTAGTGTGATCACTGAATATATCAAAAAAGAAGGAAAAAAAGAGGTAAAAAGATTATACAGGCTTTGGAGAGATTGGTATGATATTCTTTGGCTACTCTTCGCATCCACACTGTAATATTGAAAAGAACAACAAAGAGCAAGAGAATAAATTTGTAGGTTGAACTCCTCAAAAGCAAAACATGTTTTGCTACCTGTTTCAGCTAATAGAAATCCATGCCGCGAATGAAAAGTTGCTCTCTTGGCTACATTTTCCACTCACTCCCTTGCACGAGTTCAAAACAATCACAGGGCTGTGTGATGATTTGGTTCTTAAAAATGACCTACCAAACAAAGATTTCCCCATTTCTTTGGTGGGCCACTCTGTCAAGCAGAGCTTGAAGAAGGAGCTCAGCCTGCACGCCCACCACCGTTGGCACTGTGCTGGGAGAAGCAGTGGGAGCACTTAGCTGGCCACTTGCAGGGAAATAGGTGGGAGCAGCACCTTTCCCCAGCCGTTTGCCATTACACAATGCATGGTCAGCCCCCCCAAAATACACTTACAGTCTTTTTTGCTGTGTCAGTGATAGGAAGAATGGAAAGTGGGCACGATCCCTTCATGTAACAGCATGGTTTTAGGCTTAGGAAGTAATTAGGCAATCTTCAAATGCTCATTCTACCAAGAAACATCTATAGAAAAGCTGATAAGATTAAAGTGCCTTTCAGAAAAGAGAGCACTAAGCACACACAAAAGAAAATAAAAATCTTTCCCCCAGAGCAAAAAAATCATAACAAGACCTACAGGGCAGAATTTAAACCAAATATTCAAATAAGGCAGCATTTTAATGGTGGAGCTCTAGTTTGGCTTAGCCATGTTGTCAAGCTGTATTCCAATGGCCATCTGCCAGTGGGAAATATGATCCAATCCGATCCCACCCAATCCCTCTCCTGCCAAAAAAGCTTAAAATCTGGTTATTTTCAGCATAGTCATCTCCCTGATCTGGCATGCCAAGCATGGCTGCAAAAATACTTGTGCCAGTACGAGACAGGGTTGGGCACTGAGGCAGAAATGAGCCTGCTTAGAATGACAACTGCTAAGAAAGGCCAAGGAGTTCTGCAGCACCATCCAGATGCCTTCGTGTACCAAATGGAAAAATGCAGAACATTCTCCTGGTTTTTTTTTTTCGTTTTTTGGGTTTTTTTTTTTTTTTAGGAAACTACCCATAATTATACTAAAGTGTTTCGGATGTGTGCCATTGCTAAGACTTGACCCCTTACAACTGATACAGCCAATATATTTGTTCAGTGGGACTTACAGTAACTCTAATTTTCTCTTTTTTTTTGATTCATAGAATCATTTAGGTTAGAGAAGACCTTTAAGATTGAGTTAATTCACTGGACTTTATGCCAAATAATTTACATTAATTGCTCTCAACTTCACCCCTTTATGCCTCTTTTTATTATAGCTCATACATTAATTTTTCACCAAGTACTACCATAGATATAATAGCTCGTAATGAGCATTTACTGAGAAACTTGTTCTAACATTCACATTTCTTTAAAAATGGACTGCCCCTGGGTTAAATAGAAACTAAACAAGTTGGGTTGTGTTCCACCCACCCCACCCCCAAACTTTATCCTGAAAAAGACTTAACTTCCCATTCCTCTTTCAGCTGGAGCTGATTATGGATCAAACCGAAAGCTCCCAAAGCAAGGCATGATAGCAGTGCTTTGCTTTACATCTCTCCGATTCTAGCAGGAAAAACTTGCTGTATGAACCCAGTTTAAAAAAAAAAAAAGCATGATCTGATGAGAAAACAGCAATTAAGAAAAAAATACTTACTATTTCTTACAAGGCAGTTTAAATCCTGTGGGGGGAAAGAAACAAGAATATTACTCTCAGAATAGAAACTAGATTGACAGTAATTTCCTTCTGTTTGGTGGCAGGAGAGGGGTAGGAAAAAACAATTCGGTGGATAGTGATGCATACAGACTGGAAGAATTAACCATCAGGAAACATTGCACAGAGTTGTTAATCAGAAACCCAAAGGACACAGGACACGAAACCTCTGCACACCTAAACTGCATATGGGACACTAGTAGTTGCAATAATGCAAAGAAATTGGAGAGGCAAAAATGCAATATGTTGATAGCAAAAACCTTCCAAAATCCAGGACAGTGAAAACAGAAACCAGTGTGATGTGAAAGACTGCTTGAAATACATGGGTATGTTTTTTAAACACCACTGCTTTAAGTTACTGCTACCCAGCACTGATGTTGCTGGAAATGCTTGCAAGGTCTAAGCCCATCTGACTGTATGTGCGAGCTCTCTGCAGTTAGGCTTGCCACTGAAACACTGGGTTACGTACTGCCTACTGCAGGGCATCACCTTCATCTCGCATTTGGGTTCAAAACCACTATGCAATGACACTCTAAAAACTTACTGAATTTAAGTGACTAGTAGCACACAGCAATGAACGGTCCTGTGTTGCCTGAACAGAAAGGCTGCATCAGTTATGGCTGGTCTTTTTCCTGATGCCTCACAAGAAGCAGGGAAGGGAAAAGATAGCAGGTAGTAAGTGCAAGGCTTGTAAGTAGGATATGGCGGGTTTGCTTTCTAGAAATCTATTTGAGAGGCAACCCATGAAGGAAAAAAAAAATTAATCAGAAAGACTCCTCCATATTAACGATAAAGATGTCCTGAACATAAAGAAGCAACCTCACACTATGCGAGCTCTGCTTGGTATGTTTCATTTACACTGGAAGACTCCACAGTCACCAGGAAAAAACATGTAAGCTTGCTTGGTTAACGTGATGCAAAATCCTAGCGATATGGAAGTCCGAAGTTTTCACTGACTTACTAAATCAAGATGAGGGCTAAGTTTCCTCCCTCTGGTTTCCTATGCCTTGAAATATAGAGTTGGATATTACTGTCACACTGTTGCCACAACATAATTCATTCCAGTAGAGGAGGCAAGGCAGCAGGGTTTTTAACCTCTCTGTAACTTGTTAAGGTCAACTCCAAGTGTATTTTTATTTGGGGCTTAGCTTATTAATGTGGTGTAGCCTTGGCTATCCAAGGTTGTATTTACCTTTTCACGGATGGATGCTTGAAAAAAACAGCTGTGCCTTTTTGGTAGTGAACATGGCCTCCAGTGTGAAGTTTCACAGACACTAAATTGGCATTAGACACCATCACTGCTAGAGATACAGCCTAAAACCTCCCTTCACTTGCAACCCAGCACTTCAGCCTGCCCTGTTGCCAGCACAAGCATGTGTGTGACCACGCGGGCACCTGGCTACAGCCTGACACTGACTCAAGGGGAGGAAGGGAGGAGAGCTGCAAACCAGATCTGAACTTTGCTGGAAAAACTGTTTTCCTACCAGCCAGTAGCGACATTCTGTTTTTCAAAATTAAATCATCTTTGCTGCACTAAGTTAGGACTAAGGCAACATCCCAAAGACAGAACATATATTCCAATTATGTTGCACTGTTAATCAAAGTTTCTTTTATAAATAAGGAGGGGAAGGGGGATAAACACTGACACACTTAACCTTTTCTTGCCATTCTCTCACTCTGTTCTCCTTTCTCCTCTGATCCCCAGATGTTAGCAGCTCACCTGCAGAAACCACCTGCTTTCTCCCTTATCTTTGCTCTGGATCTTCTTAAAGTTTTCAACTCGCTGTCAGATTCCCAGTTTCACTCTTAGGTTGTGGAACTAATGACTCTGGAGACACCCAAACAGGGTCTTGCTAGATGTGAGTATTGGGAAAACGGCCCCAAAAGCTGTGTAGCAGTGCCCTGTGTGGGGCAGAGAAGCTCTAACATAACCAAGCACAAAATAAATCTATGAACTTAATGTCAATGTGTAACAACATGTAGAGGTACTTTTCACTATTTGTGTGCTCAAAAGGTCATACCAGCCACTAGGGGAACCAACCTAATAAATTTAAATACAAATATAATTTAGTCTGAACTTTACTTTCACAATTAGGTGCCTAATTATTGCAGACATCCCCCATTGAGTATTTAGATCCTGTTGGACTTAAGAAAAACTGGTTACAAGTATAGTTAATAGAAGTGTTATTGCAACTTTGTACCCTCAAATCAGGTTTCCTGCCCCCCTACTCTAGAACACTCCCACATAGCATCTGCAACTTAAATCCTTTGATGATGGAAAAAACCTAGAAAGCAAGCAAGCAAATGCTGATTAAACCAAACCAAAATTAGCTAAACTACAATCACTGAAAAGAGAAAAATATAAATTGTAACTACCAGTATAGAAAAGTAGATTAAGCTATGAAGAAAAATTACTCCTAACACTTCAGATGCTTAATCAGACTTTCTTAGGTAAATTATTTAGCCTTACAATGCCCCTTGCATAAACAGGTGCAGTGGTTTTGACTGGGAGGGGGTTTATTTTCTTCACAGCAGCTGGTATGGTGCTAAGTTTTGGATTTGTGACCAAAACAGTGTTGATAACACAGGGATGTTTTAGTTATTACTGAACAGTGCTTACAAAGCACCAATGCCTTCATGTTTTCTACACTGTTTCCCCCAAAGCAGGTAGGCTGGGAGCGTACAAGAATTTGGGAGGGAACACAGCTGGGACAGCTGACCCCAACTGACCAAAGGGATACCCCAGACTATATGACCTTAAAAAGATGGAGAGAGGGGGGGGAGGGAAGTGGGGGGGGGGGGAACGGGACTTTCGGACTTAGGGCATTTGTCTTCCCAAGTAACTGTTACATGTGATGAAGCCCTGCTTCCCTGGGGATGGCTGAACATCTGCCTGCTGATAGAAATCAATTCCTTATTTCACTTTGCTTGCGCACACAGCTTTTACTTTACCTATTAAACTGTCTTTGTCTCTATCCACAAATTTTCTTGCTTTTGCCCTTCCAATTCTCTCCTCATCCCACCGAGGGGAGAGAGTGAGCTGTGGGGCTGAGCTGCCAGCTGGGGCGAACCCACAACAGGCAACAAAAATAATTGCCTACTAACCAAGGTTTCTTTGTAATTAAATGACTTCTATTAAAACCTATCACTTAATATTCAGTCATTTTGTCCTTGTGCTGTTGCAGCTATCAGCAATTACTGTAAACTGCATTATGATAAAGCCCTTATATAAACCATAAGGCATTATTTGCCTAAAGAGCAGCAACATCTGCTTTCATTTGAGTGCTGGTGTTTCTGTTTATTAGCAGATAAGATATGGTTAAATGAGGAAGTATGCATTTCCCCTTTTTTGTTTTATGATCAATATGAATAATGAACCAGCACAGCAAACAGATTCTCTCCTCCTCCAGGTCTATTGTCCCAGGTAAAGTGTTTGCAATGAAGTTCCCAGCATTGAGGAGGCTATGCCCTTTCTTACAGTCATTAAAAAGTCAAGAGCTTAATCAGGAACCATCAGTTGGTTGATGAGGATTCAGACCTGAAGCTGACAATTAAGATATCTCTTACCTTTCAACACTGGGTTTCTATGGAGACAAACAACAAGAGCTTTTCTGGTGTGTCACCATTCCCCAACCCTACTCAGGATTTTCAAGGGGTTACCTACACGTTTTCTTCCTACCCCACACTAGCCTGTTTACCTGCTGTGCCAGTAATTTTTTTTTTTTTTTGGTGTAGCTGACTGTTGGAGTGTTTTAAGCTGCCACCAGTTAGTGAAGAATTTAGCAGGTTTACCACAGGAGGGTGGGGGAAGTATTCTTCCACCACATGGCAGCCTGCACCAACTCAATTGTTGGTCCACTCCCTTCCCAGTCCCCAGAGTGCTACAGAGATCACACAACAGCCCAAAATGCCCAGAAGAACAATTTATCCAGCCAGAAAGTCCTCACTATTGGCATAAGGAAGCAAAGATAACAGAAGGAGAAGATAACATAATGCAAGCAGAGATATAACAACCCCAAAGGATACCTATAGAGCAGTCACCATGAAAACCCTCGTCTCCTTTTTGGATATTGCCCAGGTGAACTAGACTGGGCTGCAGATAAGGGCACACTTTAATACCAAGGAAGTGTAACTCTGGAGAATGACATCCAAAAGTCAGGAAGCAATTAAAGAAAAAGACAAGGTGTTTTGCAGTAAAATAACTCAACCTACTTCCAGGTTTGCACTGGCTACCTCTTCGGCACCAGGGGGAAATACTTGCTGGTTTTCTCTTATAAAGGTCCAACCAACCCAAAACCTTATCTTATGCATTGGCCTATTCAGAGTGCATTAACAAAACTGTGGTCAGCAGAAGTACTTAACCTAGTTTCCCTACTTGAGCAAGGACAAATTTAGACGGTACAGTAGAAATAAAATTACAGTGATGATTGTTTCTGCTCACCCACATAAAGCTAGAAGCATGTAAGAAGTGTTGACAGAATTGAGACACATGCCGGTCTGCACACAACAAACAAGCAGACAAATGGGAGGAAAAGAAACAAAGAAATGAAGAGGTCTGCAGAAAAGATGAAGATGGAGCCCACAGCCAGGCAACACCCTCTGCATGCTTTCATAGAAGAAGGGGCTTAAATTGAGATGTTTTCTTCTCATCAGCTTCTTATTGCCTTATAGGCCCAACAAGCAAAGCTACAAACACGAGAGGCATAAAGATGAGAACAAGACAATTGTGAGGTGATGCCCGAAACTATTATCAGCAGAAGAGGACATGCACAGTCAACCCTTGATGTTTATTTACTGTATTTTCACAGAAAGCTACGCAACTGTTTCTTTCACTGCTTTTTTCCAAGATTTTTCTTGCTTTTGACATCAAAAAAGAACAGACCATATGCCACAGAGAATCATATAAATCTGAAAAAAAATGGGAAGCTGATTAACAGCACCACATCATAACAATTCAATTAAATTACCA